CCCCCCCCCCCCCCCCCCGCCCCCCCCCCCAACTGTCTACCCCGAGGGTCTGTGGGGCCGCCGCTGCCATCCCCGGCTGGAAGCCAGGAGGCCTCCGTTCCTCCTCAGCGTGGACACCCATCAGACCTGGGGCCGCAGCGCCACCTGCTGGTGCCGTGTCCTCCATCCGGAGATCAGTGCCTGGCGCAGACGATCTTCCTCCCGAGAATGAGAGGCCTCCGCAGACAAGAACCTGAAAAATGTGAACTGGTTCTGGATATGGGGACACAACAGCTAGTGTCCTGGCCAAGCTGCACATCCGCCCTGTGACCACCTTGTGTCAGCCCTGTGTCCGTCCGCCCTGTGTCCACCCAGCAGTGAGACCTTTGCACCTCACGCCCGTGCCTCTGTGAGCCCCAGTCAGGGTCTGCAGACCCTCGGCCCCAGCAGCACACCAGGGCAGGACTTCAGACAAGAGGAGTGGCCCCGGGGCACTGCCTCAGCTCCTCTGTCTGTAAAAGAGCAGCTGGCAGGTGATCTGACAGATTTGAAGTTGGAGCTGGGTGTTCCCGGCAGCCCTGGGGAGCCCTCCACCCGCGGCCAGGTGCTGCTCCGGTTTGCAGCCTCACATCCATCTTGTGTGACCAGTGGCCCTCGGGGCCTGATGCCACCCCTTGTCTCTCCCATGAGCGCAGGCCCCAGACCACAGCCACCAGACGACAAGCAAATGAAGTCCCGGCTCTGACTCCCTAGCAGCCCTTACAGCCAACAGTGTGCCTGCCTCCCAAGACCTCTTCTTATGCACCCCTTAGAGCAGAACCCCACCCTGCACCATGGATCCTACCAAAACCCCGCTCTTTTGGTTTGAACGAACCAATGTGGTCCTAGCTCAGGAACCCAAAGCACTCCACCCAGAGACCCTGGCAGAGGCCGGAGTCTCAGATCCTGTCTACACCCTGCCTTGACGTGGTCTCTCCAGGCGCAAGTGCACTTCCTCCAGGACTTGTGAGCAACCGACTTCTCTATTTCAACTTGTCTTGTGCAAGAACAGCAGGTCTTGTGATCTGTTGAAGTACAGCTCACCACCCAGCAGCCTGCACACACTGAACACGTGTTAACTGGACACAGAGGCTGGACTGCTCACCTGTGTCCCGAGGCCAGGACTGCACGGGGAGGGTCCCCCTTGAGAGGAGCAGAAAAGGGAGGGGCTCTGGTCACGGGGACAGTGTAAGCAAAGGCACAAGGCAGGACCCCAGGTCACAGGAGAAACTACCAAGTAGGGGATGGTCCTGTGAGCCCCAGGGCTCGCTGGGTGGCTTTGGGCGCTGGAACTTTCTTGGGGGCAGTGCTTGGCATCAGGATCCGTTCCAAGGGGTCCCAGCACCTTGACGGACCTTGAGAGGCCTTCAGTCTCGGCCATGTCCGAAGCAGGGGGCATAGTCTGGGCCCCAGGCTGAGAAAGAGCCTCCCAGGAGCAGCCCCACAGATGCAGCATAGGGTGAGGACACAACAGGCGCATCCATACCCACTCTGCCGCTCTGGGCACAGGTGGCCCCCATGAACACTGACGGGCCTACTCTAGGCCACAGCAGCTGCACCCGCTGTGGCTGTGGATCCGCTCGATGCCTAGAACGTGGCTGTGCCAGCAGGTGCACGAATGCTTCATGGAGCTAGGTGACCAGCCAGGCCTTTTGGGACCTGGACTCCCGGCTGCAGCACAGAAACCCTGGGGGACAGTGGCTGGGGGCCTGTGGGCTGAGGCCTAGCCGTGTGCACGGGTGCCCACATGTACACACAGCCCCTCCACTCCTCGGGCAAACCATGTGCTGACAGTGTATTCCTACCCCCACGGTGCTGTGCGGCCCAGAGACAGCAGAAGGACAAAAAGAGATGCCGGTCCCTTCAAAAGGCCATGATATTTCAAGTCATGAAACACCACATTTGTGAGCACAATAAAGAAAAAGGTTTAAATTAACCATTTTTAAGGGTTATTTATTTTGAGGGAGACAGAGAAAGAGTGGGGAAAGGCTAGAGAGAGAGGGGGAGAGAGAACATGAGCAGGGGAGAGGCAGAGAGAGGGAGACAGAGAATCCCAAGCAGGCTCCACGCCGTCAGCACAGAGCCCGACTCGGGGCTTGACCCCATGGACTGTGAGATTGTGGCCTGAGCCGAAATCTCCAGTCAGAGGCTCAACCGACTGAGCCCCCGGGAGCCCTTATGGGAACCATTTTG